AAAGGAGATCTGCATACGCTCGAGCATCACACACAGCAGCAGCGAGTTCGAACCGTCATGTTGAAACGGACACAGTCATCCACGCCATTGCTACAGTAGGGTTGTCGGACCTGACTGCTTCTCGTAGAGACCCAATTCGTCTAGCGACCCTGGCACAAGACTTCGTCAGCACGCAGGTTAGGAGGTACTAGTACAAGACTTGAATGTATAAATGGAATCGAGCAACTACGCGTAGCGCCTCCTCTAGCGTTCGAGGTGGCAGACCTTGGCCAAGCAGAGCAGCAGCGCCAGTTGGATCACGACGAGGATGACACCGAGGTGCATGGCATCGTAGAACCGGTTGGCGTAGTCGAACGAGTGGGCAAAAAAGGCGCCGACAAAGTCCTCAACCGGCTGCATGTGCACGGGGGAACTGAGCGGGTTGGCGACCAACCGGTTGTCGCCGTGGAACTGCGTCATGAGAATCGCCTCGAACGTGTAGTGGAGCGGACTCGCCGCGTACATCCAGCGCCACCCGCGGCTGAGCGTGTTGCCGTTGATCATGTACCCGGAAAAGACGAAGAGGAGGGCGGCAAGGCCGCTCGAGAGCAGCACAGCGACTTGGAACGTCGGCAGCGCAAACACAAGGAGGTGCCCAATGTACGACCACATGGCCATGCTCAGCGAAAGTACGAGCCAAAACCAGAGGTACGCCGACGGCGACGTGCTCAGGCCCACGAGCCAGTACCACCCGTTGAAGTAGATGGTCGCCAGCACGGTCGCATAGACCAACTCGACGACAAAGAGCGCGATCGCGTACGACGACGGCGCGTACATGCTCGACATGCGCTCGCGGTAGTAGACGCCGCGGAACTTGGCCATGTACGGGATGCTCGTCGACATCATCGAGACCGAGATGAAGACGACGCCGGTGAAGATGAGCACCATGCGAGCGACAACGTCCATGACCGACTCGATGCGGCTGTTGCAGTAGAGCGAGGCAAAGACGGCCGAGAGCACGACGACGAGCGCGAGCCGTGACGCATTGTACGTCGGACTGCGCCAGTACATGGTCCACTGCCGGCCCGTGAGCAGCTGCACTTGGCGCAGAAACGACACCGCGTCATGAGTTCGGAGTGTTGTCATGGCGTGTGGCCTCGTCGGCGCGCAGCTTGCCGCGATCAGCGACGCGTTGATGGCACCGAGAGGGCTCGTCGTATAGGAGTCAGCAAAGTCGACATCGACGCTGGGACCATTCGTACCGGCGCCGATGCAGTTGAGCATGTACGTGGCCGGGTTCTCGCCACGCTGGAGCGGCGGCAGACCCCGGAATTGACCAAAGTACTCGAGCATCTCGACCGACTCGAGACCGAGCGGGCCGTAGTAGACCATTTGGCCGCCCGACTGGAGCAGCAGCAGCTTGTCAAAGAGCTCGAAAAGGACGGTCGACGGCTGGTGGATCGTGCACACGACCGTGCGACCCGACTGCGCAATGCGCTTGACGCACTCCATGACGATCGTGGCGGCGCGCGAGTCGAGACCGGTCGTCGGCTCGTCCAGAAAGAGAATGCTCGGGTTCGAGAGGAGCTCG